ATAATTATATATACACATAAACAATAATATGGCATTTAATTACTAAATCTCTACACTTGCTTCAAATGGGTGATATACATACAAAACTTTATAACAATTAGATCATTAAAATGAAGTAATATTGTCAAGTTTCAAAAAATATATATATAATTATAGTGTATAAATTTGTTTATAAAATTACAACAGTCGAAAGTTTACAAACAACTACAGATTTTTTTTTTAATCGTTTTGAAATGTTTATATTTTCACAAAACTATATATAAATGTTTACAAAACTATATATAATTATTGTGCATAAATTTGTTTACAAAATTACAAGAATCCAAGTTTACAAACAACAACAACTTTTTTTTTAATCGTTTTGAAATGTTTATATTTTCTCAATATATAATAATCATATATATGTATATGTATGTGACATCTGTTCTTTTATAATAAACTATTAGTAAAATTAGCAAACTTATTTGCTGTATAAGCAAAATAAAAATATTAAAAAAATCACAATAAATAGCTCATTACAAGAATCAAACGTAATAGTCACATAAAACTGAGAACATTAAGGGACTAACCACTACACTACAACAACATTTGATAGCCTTAAAACTAGTTATACTCATTTGCTGCCTAAAGCATTTGCTTCTTGGGCTTTAGCCACAAAACGACTCTCCAGTTATAGAGTTAAGCAGAATCGAAAAAGCATAAGTAACAAGGTCCCAAAATTGACTACAAACATCATACCGTACCGTCAAGTAGTTAAACTCTTGGGCTGTTATGTTGTAGCCTGTAAAAACATGTAATAAGAGATTCCTACTCCAAAATCAAGAACTAAACAACACCAAATCCCAAATTTTCATGTAATCGTAGCCTTTTTATAAGAACATAATCTAATCACAACAACAATCAACTATAAATCAAAAATTCCAAACAAAATCAGGCAGATGAAACAACAATCTAAAACCAAAGTTGAACAAAAAAACAAAATTATACTAGTGAGGAGAATTGACGGAATCACAGATTTTCAAAGTTACTATCAAAAGATCGATGGTAGCTTTATCAACCGCCACCGCTACCGTCGTCGAAGCTGAAGACAACACCATATCACGATGCTTAGATGATGCTTAAAACCACTAAATAAGCATCGATCTTTACCATTTTCTTATGCTTTTGATTATAACTAATCACTTTATTAATTATAAACAACTTTTAAGCAATGGTCAAAGCAACTCCAGTAGGTGGTCTTACCATCCTGTGCTATGTGATGTGGGTTGTGTAATATCATCTTTATTTGGTATTAGCTGTCCGGTAGTGAACTTTCTTTTATTTTTGTAAACTGGAATTTGAATAGTACAGTTTTAGTAAGGAATGAAAGATTTATATTACTAAGGAGACGTTGAAAAGCCAAAAGAGGAAAGAAAAGAAGGAAAAAAACACAAGCCAAGAAGCAATGGAGCCAGCAGATCGTTCAAGTGACGCAAAAGCTTTCGACAATATGAAAATGTGCGTGAAAGGCCTTGCGGATTCAGGAATCACAGCGATGTTTCGAGCAATGCTAGCCTGAAATCGCAACCACCTCCCAAGCATCTCACCATCGATCTGAAGGGAGGAAACGTGGTGGAGAAGATTGGAGAAGCTGCTGAAAAATAAGGATTGTTTTAGGTTGTTTATCACGGCATCCCCGTGGAGGTTCTGGACAGGATGGTCGAGGGGATTCGCAGCTTTCACGAACAAGAACCTGAGGCCACCATTATTGGTGGGCTCTTAACCAACTCTTAGCCTAAAATTTGCTAAAAATGGCCTCTTATTTGCAAATCTTAGGCTAAGAGTTGGTTAAGAGCCCATGGATAATGTTGCTCTGAGGGCAAGAAACCCTTCTACTTTAGGGATCATAGTAAATATGTGGTTTACTACATCAATTTTGATTTGCATAGTACAGAGGCAGCCATTTGGAGAGCCACACTGGCTTGTTATACCGCACCAAAACCTCCTAGATTCAAGGAGTTTCCCGCGGTTTGGTAAGGAGAATTGTCTGCCAGTTTAAGTTATTGTTAGAGAAAAAAATGTGTTATTCGTTTAATGATTTCATTTCACATATATATGAGAGAATAGCTAGGCTCTTAAAACAATTAACTTGTGAAAATGTTATGATCATGTGGCAGGGAGATTTATGATGGCAAGGGCCGATGAACGGGGTAAAACGACCCAACCGACCTGATCGAAAGGTCGACCCACACGTGTGTTAAAAATACTAAGTTATTTTTGTTTTTTCTTGCATGACTTGTAGCTTTATTCCTTTGATCTTTCATCTATGGTTTGGGTTTGATCTAATTTTTATTGTGCAGCTTATAAGCAATTAAGCAAATGTAAAGTTCTTAAGCGTTGAGCATAGGGTGATAGACTAATAGCAAATGTAAAGTTCTTAGGCGTTCATGAAGTTGAATCCTCCAGTGTACGGCCAAGTACTCAACCATCTTCAGGTTCAAAAAGATCGATTCTTCGATGGTACACCATTTCATGATCTGAGACAACACTTATTATTGTGCACTGTGTTGAATGGATGACGAGATGATTGACCATGCTCTTTTCAAATTTCTCCATAACATTACAAATTTGTAATGTTGATGAGAACATAACCGAAGTAAACCGGTATCAATTAAGATAAGGATGAAACAATGAGAATATCATTTGTGATCTTATTGTTGTTAGTGGTTTTAGGTAGATTATGTTAAATCTTCGATTCATGTCTATCTCCTATATTCTAGGATTGCCCTTAACATGTATAAATACTCATAACATCTTATGATGAAATATATGGAAAAAATGTTTAAAGTCTATTGTTCTTATAAGCTATTGATTGGGACCTATCAAATGTTCATACAAATTTAGATTACCTTTTGTTTGGAGGATATATACTACATTATTTATTAAGATACTAGTTTCCGGTGGTTACTTTGATAAATTTGGAAAAAATAAAAAAATTAAATTAAATTAGGGGTTATTGGATCATTGATTTTGATGGATTTGGAAATCCAAACAAAAATCATATGTTATTCAATCATTGATTTTAAAATAACTATCAAAATCATGTGTTATTGGTTATATGATTTATAAATACTAGTTAAAATCCTATGTTATTCGTTTAGTGATTTGGTTTTGGATTTTAAAATCCGCAGTATGTTTTTGAAAGGATTTGATAGTGAAAAATAGAAGGATTCAAATCCAAGGATAAAACATGTTATTTCAAAATCCATGTATTTCGATTTCATAAATAATAAGGATTCACAAATTCTATGTGGATTTACGAATCAATAAACCAATAACACCCAATGTTGATAGGAATGCACAAGTAAAATTGAAGAACATGAATTTGACTCTCGCATGACCATCATCACCCCTTATATATTTTGTTTTGTCTTTGTAGGATATATTATCCTTCTTAGATGATTCTTTAGAAGAGACATATATCTTTGAGATGGTTTAGTTTTCATGACGATGTAGAGAGATCATCCATTATGTCCGATCAAATATGAAAATTATTCTTCCAATTTGAAAATCAATCTTTCATGTCGACTAGGTAAGATAGATCCATTATGTTGGAGTGCTAAGTTGGCACTCGAAAAGCACATTGAATTAATATTCAACTTAGGAGAAATAAAGATCTTACACTCATTGGTGAATCAAGTTAGGCTATATATATATATATGAAAATGTCAATGTATAGTTATATGATCGTGGCTATATAGCTAGCTAGGTCCTAACGATGATTATGGGGAATAATGAACTTAGCCAGAGTCTAAGACTTTAATTTTTCAAACCATTAAAGTTTAAAAGAGAGTGAGGGAAACGTGTGGACTGACCTACAATTATGTGACTGGGGAAAAGACTTGGTTTCTGCTATTTCTCATAGAGGATGATCCTTCTCTTTCTCTCCATACTTCTTCAATTCATTTTTTGTTTGGGAATACGTGCCATCGACCCGAGGAAAAGCACTTCGTTTCAAAATTTAGTTTTAGTTTTGTGGTATTTTTGAAAGACTAAAACTAAGTTTTTAGTTTAATATTTGGTTACGTTTAATTATATTAGGAAACCACTCGTTCTATGAGATGATTATAGATTTCAAATGAAGGCGTTGGTAAGTACATTTGGATTAAACACAACGTTACCTGCGAGCGAAGCTACTGTAGTACAGTCTCTAAGTTAATACTGATGTTCTTTTTCTCTAATCTGCCAAACTGTTCCTTACAAGCCTATTTTTTCTATATGACATAATGGTAGAAATATAATTTGGTCTATAGTGACTTTTGCCCGCAGGTAAAGTTCTTATTCAATCGGGTATTTCAAATTCAAGTATTTTCAGTAAAATTCTAGTATACATTCCAATATTTTAGAATTTTGGTTCGGTATTTTAGTTATTTTGATCTTAAAATAACTGATCGATATTTTCAGATTTATACTTATAATTTTTAAAAATATAGGTTATGACAAATCTAAAATAATTAATATTTTGGATATCCATTCGGGTTTCGCTATTTGACGGTTACCTAACTTATATCAAAGTCATTTTTGATTTTTACACTTTAATAAATTTGATGCAAATTATTTGAAATTTTTAGTTGTTCGAGTTGAAATAAGCATTGTAACTTTGTTCGTGTAAGATAAAAACACGATAGAAAAATATTAGTTTGAAATAGATCTTTTCCCCTTATATAAACATACTGATAAAATGTCAAGAAAAAAACACCATTTAATCAAGAAAAAACCATTTGGCTCTTGGGTCAACTGTTAGAACGTTGAGTGGCCTCGAAATGAGTTGCGTATTGCGTCAACTGAAATTGTTAGAAAGGCATCGGAGCATTGACTTGGGAAATATGAAGAGTAAGTGAATTATCACACGTAACGAATTTAATAAGATATCTCCATGCAGCTCCCATGCTTTTGAATCCTTCCTATATAAACGATCTCTTCATCATCCAAAAATACAAACAGCAAAAGTGATCTAACAAGCCATGACATTTCGTGAAACTTGCATCTTTGTGATTCTCTTTGTAGCTTTAAGTGCAACGAGTCAACGAGTTTGTGATCCAGTGTGCCAAGCTAAAGAACCCTTCAACTGCAATGATGCGAGAACTTTCAGTCGAACCAATTTTCCTAGAAACTTCACTTTTGGTGCAGCAACTTCAGCATATCAAGTATGTTTTGAACCTTATAACATGTTTTATACAACTCTATAATTATACATTTATACCTAATCTTTAAAAACCTACAAGTTTATTTCTATAAAATTGATTTGCTTTGTACTAGATTGAAGGTGCTGCGCGTAGAGCGGTAAATGGATGGGACTACTATACTCATAGATATCCAGGTTTTTTTCCTAGTTTTAAAAATATGTAATAATTATATATTATCAACTGTATGTATTATACATTTTTTTTTGGTATAGTTATATGTTTTATAGATTTGTATATATACAATTTGACAAATATATTTGCTTACAATTTAGACTTCTCATCTAACAGAAAGGGTTCCAGACCGCACTACGGGAGATCTAGCATGCAACTCCTATGAGCTTTATAAGGTTTTTTTTACAAATAGTCTATATATATATGTATATGACATACTTTATTATATAGTCACTAGGAATAAATTTTAATCGAGAAAGTTCTTTGCTTCATATATAGGAGGATGTTCAATTACTGAAACGCTTGAATGTTCAAGCTTACAGATTCTCAATAGCATGGTCAAGGGTCTTGCCAAGTACATACTCTCCTTCTTTCTTTAATCTTCTAATTTGAATTTTTACATTTTTACGAAATCTCTCTTATGCATATATAGAGGGAAAGCTTAGTGGAGGAGTGGATGAGAATGGAATAAAATATTACGACAATCTCATCAACGAACTCAAATCAAATGGTAATTATTTCATTATATAATATTGTCATACACTAACACATGTTCACGTTATACATTTTTTCTTTTCTTTATCTTTTTATACATGAAGGTATAGAACCATTCGTGACAATATTCCATTGGGATGTCCCTCAAACTTTAGAAGACGAGTATGACGGTTTTTTAAGCCGACGTATAGTGTAAGCCGACGATACATAAAAACCAAAACTCTCATGTTAGCTCATGAATACATATCTTTATTTATATGTATTGTATGGTTATATATACTAGGGGTGATTTCAAGGATTACGCTGAGCTTCTCTTTCAAAGATTTGGGGATAGAGTGAAGTATTGGATCACATTTAATCAACCTTACACGTTCGCAAATAGAGGTTATGGAGATGGATCATTTCCACCGGGGCGATGCACAGGTTGTGAATTCGGAGGAAACTCTGGTACAGAACCTTATATTGTTGGCTATCACCAGCTTCTTGCTCATGCTACAACTGTATTAACATATCGACAAAAGTACAAGGTATTATAATATAAAATAATACATAATTTATCTATGAGAAATTAGTATATATGTCATCCTTTATATGCATTAACTATGTGCAGAGGTTACAAGGTGGAAATATTGGAATAACCTTAATTGGAAGATGGTTTGTTCCTTTAAATGATGCAAGCGTTTCAGATCAGATGGCTGCGCGGCGCGCATTTGATTTCATTGTTGGATGGTTCTTGGATCCTCTTGTGTATGGAGATTATCCAAAGATCATGAAAGATACTTTGGGTACAAGATTGCCTAGATTCACACTTTTGGAGTCTCAATTAGTGAAAGGATCCATAGATTTTCTTGGTTTAAATTATTACTTCACACAATATGCAACTGATTCATTACGACCCATTTCGACACCACCCAACATCCAAACTGATATAAGAGCCAATTTTAGTAGTATGTCTTACTCTTCTCCATCACTTTCTACATCACTTTCTATTTCATATTAATTAGCAGTACTTTTGTATCTCAAATTGGGAATTTTGTAGTAACTGCATGCATGCATTGTCTACGTAAACTAATTTTTGTTTTCTATGTTTATAAGCAGCTTCTCGTGGTGGAATTATAATTGGTGTTCAAGTGAGTATCAAATTATTTCGTTACTAAAATGTTTATAATATGAAAAGATCTCATAAAATACAAACTTTATATTCTTTTCGTTTCAGTTTAGTTGTCGTTTAAAGTTTAAATTTTTTTAAAGAAAAATTGATTAGTTTCTTAATTTGTATATAAATATTTTTAATTCTTTATATTCTTTTTTTTCTTCTAATAAAACGATTTTTAATATAAACCGAAATATTATTACTAATTTTGGCGGTTTTTTACAGAGTGCTAATTTTGTGTATTATCCTCCTGGATTTCGACAAATTCTGAACTATATCAAAGATAATTACGCAAACCCACTTACCTACATCACGGAGAATGGTAAATTTCTATGAACGTATATACATATTTTTGTTAGCACCAATGTATATACTATGTATTTAAACAAGTTATATGCTTAACAATATTCTACTTTTGAACTTTGTAGGATTTTCTACTTTCGGGAATCTCACACTTGCTGAAGCACTAGCAGACCAAGGACGAATTGAAAGCCATTGTAGTCATTTGGCTTGCCTCAAGTGCGCAATCGAGTGAGTTATCTTAATTATATTGCAAGTTCATTTGATCTTTGGTATATTTATATGGAAAAAATCATATATCACTTATATTTTGCCAATAGTTCTTAAAAGTAATTACTAGTAATAGCCACTTGAATTTTTGTGGTGCATGTAGTAAAAAAATTTCTTATAGCCACTTGAATTTCGTGGCTATAATAAAATAAATCCATATAGCCACGAATATTAAGGTTTAGCCACGAAAATGCAAAAGGCGATAGAGATTTTTTTTACTAGTATATTTTAGTCTTTCTTTTTATGTATTTTAAGCTCTCCGTCTAACCAAAATAAATTCACTTATATAAACTGTAAGAGTATCTCCATCAACTTTTTTAAATATCTATAATAGTAAAAAGTAAAAAAAAAAAGTTAAATATGGAATGTGTATCTTAGACAATTGAGAAACCTATCTCATTTGAGAGACTTTGAGGTGGGTTTTTGATTTTTCCTTAACTATTCAAGATACCCATTCAATATTTTATGATTATTATTAATTTTATATTATTGTGGAAACTTTCTTAAGAACTCTATTGATAAAGGTGCTCTTGTATATAGGGATGGATGCAACGTAGCTGGGTATTTTCCATGGTCTTCGATGGATAATTATGAGTTCAGTCAAGGTTACACAATCCGTTTTGGTATGAATTGGGTGAACTTCACTAATCCAGCGGATAGAAGAGAGAAAGATTCAGCTAAATGGTATTCCATGTTCAATACGAACTGAAGATAATATATGAAACATGCATGAAGTGATCGCCTAAAAAAGCTACTATATATGTGTTACGTTGTAACAACAACTAAACGGACTTTCATGTCCCCTAAATAGAAAAATAAATTCGAAATATATATATGATGTTCTCTATAATGCTGAATCATTTGTAAAACCTTCACTGAAAGTGGCCTCGGCAAAAAAAATAGCGATATCGAACCAAATCAAGAGGAACCGAAACCGAACCAAAATTGATGTCGAATGAAACCAAATCATCATACCGAGACAAAACCGAACGGATATCCAAAAATGTTTCATTGTTATAATTAATAAATAGATGAACGTAACTAATGAACATAACGAATTATATTATTAGACTCTCTCATTAATAATGTTATATGATGCTTTGAAGTTTTTAATATGGAACGATTCCCTTCATTTTCTTATCATGAGTGACAACTTTAAAACACATTTCTCGACTACAACTTGAATGAAATAATTTTAATTTCCTTGTCATTTTGTCAGCTTGTAACGATATGTTGTTGATATACCTTATACGTTATATCACTAGGGACAACAAAACGAACTTAGCGAGCTGGAGATGGACCAGAGGAGTATTGGGCTAACAGTGAGGAGTTGAATTTTTGGTGTCGTGTTATTTTTTTCAACTAATGCGTCAATGTCTATAGTTTGACAAATAAACTACAAAAACTATATATCTATTAATCTCAAAAACTATATATGCCTAATAGTTAAAATATGTTTCACTATATAAACAAAATATACTGCTAAGTTGAACTATAGATTCACTCAGGTTTGCTCTCTTCTTACTTTTCTTAACAAGTCACTCCTTGTTTCACTAATTCTCTTCATTGTCATTGTCTTCTTCTTAATGGTTCTCCTTCTTTTTCTCATTGATCTTTCTCTTTTGTTTGTGTAGGTTCAATCAAAGGATCCAACTCCAAGTTTTCTCCATCGCCAAAAATTTATAATAAGCGAAAGTAATTGTCTCTCGAGCCATGACAGATTCGTGTAACTTGCATCTTTGTGCTTCTCTTTTCAGCTTTAAGTGCAACGAGTCAAAGAGTTTGTGATCCAGTGTGCCAAGCAAAAGAACCATTCAACTGCAATGATGTGAGAACTTTCAACCGAACTAACTTTCCAAGAAACTTCACTTTTGGTGCAGCAACTTCAGCATATCAAGTATGTCTGACCCTTATATACAACTCTCTAATTATGTTCTATATGTATGTTTTTTTCTTCATATTTCTTGGAATTGATTTGCTTGTACTAGATTAAAGGTGCTGCGGGTAGAGCGGTTAATGGATGGGACTACTATACTCATAGATATCCAGGTTTTTGTCCTAGCTAGTTTGTAAAATATTTTCTCACAATTTAGACGTCTCATCTAACAGAAAGGGTTCCAGACCGCACTATGGGAGATCTAGCATGCAACTCCTATGATTTTTATAAGGTTTTCAATTTTATTTCGAGTGACATCTTTAGCTTTGGAATATAGATTCTTGGGTCGTATATATAGAATGTAGCAATTTTTCTCCACTAAACTAATTTTTGGGATGAGTTAGGGCACATTCCTAATAATATAGTCACTTGAAATGAAAGTTTAATCGAAAAAGTTCATTGCTCTATATATAGGAGGATGTCCAATTACTGAAACACTTGAATGTTCAAGCTTACAGATTCTCAATAGCATGGTCAAGGGTCCTGCCGAGTACATTTTTTCTTCAATCTTCTTTTATTTCATTTTAAAAAAATATCTCTATTTATATAAGGCTCTCTCAGAGGGAAAGCTGTGTGGAGGAGTGGATGAGAATGGAATAAAATATTATGACAATCTCATCAACGAACTGAAAGCCAATGGTAACTATAAGTTTTATATATTTATACACCAATACATGCATGTGAATCTTTTAATATTTTCGTTATACTGTTGTATCATTTGATCATATTACACGTACACCTAGGCATAGAACCATTCGTGACAATATTCCATTGGGATGTTCCCCAAGCTTTAGAAGACGAGTATGGAGGTTTTTTAAGCCGACGTATAGTGTAAGCATTTCAATATCTAATACATGTTTTATAGCTTATGAATATATCTTTATGTATGGTCATATATACTAGGGGTGATTACACGGATTATTCTGAGCTTCTCTTTCAAAGATTCGGGGATAGAGTGAAGTATTAGATCACATTTAATCAACCTTACACGTTTGCAAATAGAGGTTACGGAGTTGGAACATCTCCACCGGGGAGATGCACAGGTTGTGATTTTGGTGGAGATTCTGGTACAGAGCCTTATATTGTTGGCTATCACCAACTTCTTGTTCATGCTACAACTGTATTTACATATCGGCACACATACAAGGTATTTAGTTATGTCATAATTTCACATTATGTCTTCATTTGTTTCTAATTTACCTAAAGACTAATATATAAAGGAATAGAAAAAGAAACTGCATGAGTTATGTGCATGCGAAAAAACATATATCTTCACATTTTGTTATGAACCATTCTTAAACATAAGAAAGAGGGAGATTTAAAAGCTTAGCTCGGCCTAGAAGGTGGTGGGGGAGTTGTAGAACCAGGATAGGTGAAAGGGTGAAACTCCCACATCCCAAATTAAATTCTCCTCTCTTTATGTTATCAACTGGACCTTGGCTCAATTTTTACATTGTAGTCAGAAATGCATACGCCTGACTACTTCTGGTATTAGTAAGAAAGCATTCCAAACTTGGGAATAGTCTATATGGTAGTTCAACATGCATCTAGATGTTGGGAACAAGTCTACATGGTAGCATTTTGGCACGTTTCCTCTATAGCTGACCAGATTAGCCAATCAGATATATCACAAAAAGCTTATCTCTCTCTTAACCCTAGTCTCTCTTAGAGATTAAGGTTAATTTTTGGGGTTTGTTTTCTTATTGATTATAATAGATCCTTATATAGGCCACAATCCAACTTAATCATGAACCCTAATGCATAAAATAAATCACTTTAAAATAAAAAGGAAATATAACCAAATTCAAAAGCATAGAAACCCCAAAAACTATAAATTAAAATGTCTTAACCATACCTTAATCAACCTAACCATATTCTCACTTTTGTAACAATATGCAGATGTTACAAGGTGGAAATATTGGAATAGCCTTAATTGGAAGATGGTTTGTTCCTTTAAATGAATCAAGCGTTTCAGATCAGATGGCTGCACGACGAGCATTTGATTTCATTGTTGGATGGTTCTTGGATCCCCTTGTGTATGGAGATTATCCAAATATCATGAAAGATACTTTGGGAGCAAGATTGCCAAGATCTACACCTTTAGAATCTCAATTGGTTAAAGGATCAATGGATTTTCTAGGTTTAAATTATTCCTACACATAATATGCAACTGATTCATTGCAACCTATTTCGACACCACCAACCATCCAAACTGATGCAAGATCCAATTTTAGCAGTATGTCATACTCTTCTCCATCACTTACTATTTCATATTAATTAGTAATATCTGCATGCATGCATTGTCTATGTAAACTAAATTTTGTTTTCTTTGTTTATAAGCAGCTTCTCGAGGTGGGATTCTAATTGGTGTTCAAGTGAGTATCAATAGTTTTTATTTTAAATGTAAAAAAAAAAGAGTTCATAATAATACAAAAATTTTATCACTAATTCAAACGGTTTTTTTTTTTACAGGGTGCTTACTTTGTGTATTATCCTCCTGGATTTCGTCAAATTCTAAACTATATCAAAGATAATTACGCAAACCCACTTACATACTTACATCACTGAAAATGGTATGTAAATATAGGTATAAAATCATTTCTCTAATTAATATGTATTGAAACAAGTTTAGTTTACAAGAATCATATGTGTTAACCTTGAAAAAAATACAATATCTAACATAACTCAAATTGACAAAAAATGAATCGTAAAAAACTAAAAGTGTTACCGGATTTTTTAAAAAAGAATTATCATCCAATGTTTTAAAATACATTGGTAACAAAATTAGTTATCATGAAAAAATGTTAGATTCACTTTAATTTATATTAAATAGAAATAAAATGAAGTAATATGGATAACCATAAATTGATCATAAATCAAAATAGAAATACCTTTAAAAAGGAAAATAAAAATAAAATATGCAACTGTTGAATATTGACTCAATTAGAATCCTAGTTAGAAAAAAAAATCTAATCAAAACTTATGACTTCAACTTTATAAATGGGGTTTAGTATTGGACCAAATCACGGGTTTTGACCAATATTAGGGTTTAACTAAAATATGATCTTGAACATGTATCAGCCAATTGTAGTACAAGTTAGCAGATTGGCTATCTCTTTGTAGGATTTGTTTTAACTTGGATACACTTATATATAAACAAACTATAGTTGTTAGATACATATAATTGGCGTGAAATATTTCAAAAATCTGTTATACCTGCTTGGTATTTAAGATTGGAAACTAGTTTAGTATAAAATATATATTTTTAAAATCTTATCATCTTATCTTGGTAGTCAATGTAATAATCATATTGAAAAGAACAATACTAGATAATATAAAAAATATATCTTTTAGTAAATTATTTGTTAGGTATATTATTATACTTTAAATATTGAGTTTACAAAAGTCGTTAGATATAATTGGTATGAACAAGTTTAAGTATTGGCGCGAACTATTTAAAAAATCATTATTTGTTTTTTCTATAGATGTTTGATATTCATTTTAAATTATTGGTATAATACTCGTTAGATATAGTTAGCGTAAGATACCTTAAATAATTTGTATTTATCGATATAGTTGACATACCTATTTAGATATTTAACAGAGTAGTCGTTAGATACAAATAATTGGCGCGAAATATTTAAAATATCTGTTATACTTGCTTGGTATTTAAGATTATAAACTAATTTAGTAAAAAAGATATATTTTAAATGTCATCTTGTTTTGGTAGTCTTTGTAAAAACTTAATCATATTAAAAAGAACATAAGAATATTGTGAATTTTCAAGGTCAAAGCAGAAGTCTTAACTATCTTACTAGAAACAATTAATTAGTATTTAATCTATATCTTGGACTATGAGAAGAAAATTAACAGGTGGCTAAAAAATATTTGCATCAACCAGTACTTGTCCATCTATATAAATTAGACTTTTCTTCTCAATTCTCTTCATATATTTTGTGATTTAGTTTTACTTTTACATAAGATTAAACAATAGCTATGAGTTTAGAGAGTGGTCCAAAGGAAACCAAACCATTTGATGTTGAAAATTGTAAAATTTGTCGTGAGCCATTAGCTAACAATGGTGATGTTGTTAAGCTTCCATGTAACCACATGTATCATTTGGGTAATATGTTCTTAATTATTTTATTTATGAAAAAGCATCAAAAGAATAAATCAACTTTTATTTGATTTATTTCTGTTGATTTTAGTTACATATTACATGCATCCCTTTTCTATTTGTTGTAGATTTGTAATATTTTGTCTTGTATATATATATATATATATATATATATATATATATATATATATATATTTTGCGAATGTATTATTAATGGAATTCGCTAGTTTTCTGTCTTATTGGGTTTTCTTATTCAAATCTGCATTACAATATTGGGTTTTCAGACTATAGAGCACTCTCTAAGACATCTTTGGTTGTCTATTATATTTTTGTCGACCAAAGTTATCCAACATATATGTGTTTATTTAAACGAATTAGGAAGATTTTTATTTATTTATTATTATTATTATTATTATTATTAAATTTTAAAATTATAAATCATAAATCCGCTAATATTTTTGGTTTTTCTTATGTTGTGACATTGATCTATCATTTTCTTTCTTGACATGTTCCCTCTGCAGAGTGTATTGCTAAACATGTTCAGCCAAACATGGTAATAGATCTATACTTTGATATTTTGAAATGTATTGTATAGTATATTATTTGAATGAGTACTAACATATTCATTTGTTGGTTCAGCCAACCAAGGCGTGGAGTGACGACGAGTTGTCTCTAATTAAAACTCATCTCAATTTACTCTTTTGCCATCCTTTACCTATAAGCTTTGCATATCCTGATCTGAGCCCTATGCACACTCCATATGCTTGGAACCCAACGGACACTCCAAATCCTCTAAACCCTAGGCACCCTTCATATGGTCCAAACCAAATTCGTAACAATGGGAACGCTTGATATGAGAGATTCAGGAATCACATTCCCTTGACGTGGATGCAGCCTCAGATAGAAGAACGTCGCTTGAATGTAATGATGTGTGTGTCTCAAGGCAGCACTGGAGCAACTGGTATTGGTGGGAGAGATGATGAAAGCATCAGTGGCTGAGGAGGGGCATAAATGAGGGGTAGAGTAGCGATTGAAAATGATAGTGATCAAACTATCAAATTTTATTGTTTTTTGTACTTGTTTTAGCTACATTATGTTTTCTTTTTCGATAAGTTGGCATTCAATTTCTTTTGTGTGCTAGGATTGAATATTGACCAGAATTTAACTCATACCTCCGGACGAACCAGAGCCACCAGATCATCTTCGCTTATGCGTCTCTCCGCTATTCTCGTTAGCTCTTATCGTGCTCTACTCTAACGGATCTACCCTCTTGGTACGGGTGAGCCTTCCTCTCCCCTTTGCACGGCTATACATTCCAGTCAGACATTTGTTTCCCGGTAATTCTCCTTTTGTAATTTGGGTTGTAAATTATGAAGCTTTCCTCGGTCAAACCATTGGCATGACAGTATCGTACAGAGCTACTTGTCCTGATCTTCTGCTGCCTCAGTCACCATTTCCAACACTCATCAATCCGGTCTGCTTCTCCCAACCCCTCACCAAGGTTCTCTCGAACGCCTCTCTTATCCACAACAACATCTCAGTCCAACTCTCTGTTTCGGCCTCCGCTCCTTGTCTTCAGCCAGCCGTGTGGGAGAGTTACTCCTTGGTAGACGGATGCCCGCTTGCTCTCGTCGTGAACTCGTTGGGATGGTTGGGTTTGGTTCAGCCTTTTTGGGTCCACTTGGATCAAGCTTACAGATTCTCAATAGCATGGTCAAGGGTCTTGCCAAGTACATACTCTCCTTCTTTCTTCAATCTTCTAATTAGGATTTTTCATTTTAACGAAATCTCTATTATGTATATATTTAGAGGGAAAGCTTAGTGGAGGAGTGGATGAGAATGGAATAAAATATTACGACAATCTCATCAACGAACTGAAATTAAATGGTAATTATTTGAAATAATTACGAAAATTTATTTCATTATGTCATACACTAACACATGTTCACGTTATAATTTTTTTTCTTTTTTTTTTTAATCTTTTTATACATGAAGGTATAGAACCATTCGTGACAATATTCCACTGGGATGTCCCTCAAACTTTAGAAGACGAGTATGACGGTTTTTTAAGCCGACGTATAGTGTAAGCCGACGATACATGTTTTAACCAAAAATCTCTTGTTAGCTCATGAATATATATTTTTAATTATATGTATTGTATGGTTATATATACTAGGGGTGATTTCAAGGATTATGCTGCTCTTCTCTTTTAAAGATTTGGGGATAGAGTGAAGTATTGGATCACATTTAATCAACCTTACACGTTCGCAAATAGAGGTTATGGAGATGGATCATTTCCGCTGGGGCGATGCGCAGGTTGCGAATTCGGAGGAAACTCAGGTACAGAACCTTATATTGTTGGCTATCACCAGCTTCTTGCTCATGCTACAACTGTATTAACATATCGACAAAAGTACAAGGTATTATAATACAAAATATTACCTAATTTATCTATGAGAAATTAGTATATATGTCATCCTTTATATGCTTTAACTATGTGCAGAGGTTACAAGGTGAAAATATTGGAATAACCTTAATAGGAAGATGGTTTTTTCCTTTAAATGATGCAAGTGTTTCAGATCAGATGGCTGCGCGGCACGCGTTTGATTTTATTGTTGGATGGTTCTGTAACAACCCATCCCGGTGGGAACTCCTACCACATGGCACACCCCGCCATATGGCAGCTACAAGCGCTGCAACGCTGTAAGGATGCCATGTGGCGGGGTGTGCCACATGGCAGAGTGTTCCCACGGGGCAAGGTGTTACATAAAAGTCGACTTTTATGTAACAACTCGTCCTGTGGGATTCCGCCACATGGCACACCCGCCACATGGCATCCTTACAGCGCTGCAGCGCATCGACCCTAACCTCTCTCCTGTGGGCCCAAACTGTGCAACCCACTTGCTCGCAGCCTCCTGGCCCACCATGTAGGTTATTGGTGCGCCTGGCGTTCCTCGAACCCAGGTCCTCACCCTTTAACAATCTTCCTACCGTGGAAGTTGTCACCAATTGAACTGCAAGTGCGCTGCGCAGTTTGGGCCCACAGGAGAGAGGTTAGGGTCGATGCGCTGCAGCGCTGTAAGGATGCCATGTGGTGGAATCCCACAAGACGGGTTGTTACAGGTTCTTGGATCCTCTTGTGTGTGGAGATTATCCAAAGATCATGAAAGATACTTTGGGTGCAAGATTGCCAAGATTTACACTTTTGGAGTCTCAGTTAGTGAAAGGATCCATAGATTTTCTCTGTTAAATTATTACTTCACACAATATGCAACAGATTCATTGCAACCCATTTCGACACCACCAACCATCCAAACTGATGCAAGAGCCAATTTTAGCAGTATGTCTTACTGTATTCTCCATGATTTTCTATTTCATATTAATTAGTAATATCTGCATACATGCAATGCCTACGTAAACTAAATTTTGTTTTCTTTGTTTATAAGCAGCTTCTCGTGGTGGAATTCTAATTGGTGTACAAGTGAGTATCAATAGTTTTTATTTTAAAATTTTTAAAAAGACTTTATAATAATACAAAAATTGTATCACTATTGCAAACTTTTTTTTTTTACAGGGTGCTAATTTTGTGTATTATCCTCCTGGATTTCGTCAAATTCTGAACTATATCAAAGATAATTACGCAAACCCACTTACTTATATCACTGAGAATGGTATGTAAATATAGGTATACGAATATATAATTTATATGTATATATCACTACAAGAAAACATATGATTAACGACTGCAAAAACAGTCACAATTCCGTCGCTAAGTACCTTAGAACGACTGTTTAGCGACGTAATGACATAGTCGCTAAACCATGCGTCGCTAAATTATTTGGTCGTACGTCAGTCGCTAAATAGCTACTGTGTTGCAACATATTTTATTGGTCACTATGACGTTGCAAAGCAGTCGCTATTTGCGCGACTGATTTGCGCCTATTATGCGACTTCATTTTGACTGCTCTGCGACTGTTTTGCTACTGTGAATTTTTATTGTTTTGAGACAGAATTGATTTGGAATCTCGATATAGGATGCTTTTAAATTTGATTTTGAAATTACAAATTGTTTTTAAAACAAAAAAAAATGTGTATTTAAAACATTTTCATTCAACACAAACACAAAACATGTTTTCATATTCAACAAAATAACAACCACGTTCAAACACATACAACCAAGTTTAAACACAATACAACAACCACATGTTTTAAAGTTCTTTCAAGTTCTAGTAGGAGGGAAAGCAAGGGAACCTATTCATCTGCAGAGGACTCAGAGTTGATGAAAGCAAGGAAATTTGGGGTCAGTTTTGCTCAAGTACTATTTCACCAGCTTCAAGTGCTTGATCTCAGCTTGTTGCTCAGCTAAAACCCGTGAAGCCTCTGCTTCACGCTCTGTTTGAATAGCTGCTTGTTCCTCCATCTTCCGAGTAGCTTCCTCAAGCTGTTGGTGCAGGCTTGTTGTGAAAGAAAAAGTGCTTCCCGGGTACTTTCGCTTCCCATTGATGTAATCCCCTAGGCTTCCAACTCCAAAATATGCTCCTCTATCATTAGTGAAAGTTGACTGCATAAAAAAAATTCAAAACTCAGAAAGCTACTGCAACAAACAATATCATAAATCTATTCTTTAACATTTTTCATGAAAAAGTAAACATACAATCTCAGAAAAATCAGTACATTACCTGAAGAAAGATCTCGTCATCCTCCTCTTGAGATAGCTCTGATCTACGTGAAGTACCGTCAGAAGTCTCATCATTCTCGAGTGCAGCCAAAATCGTTTTCGTTGCTATTAAGTGACAAGACAGTGGCCATTCAGTCGCAATATTTAGCGACTACACCTTCAGTCGCAACATGCAGTCGCTAAATAGATGTTTTCTTGTAGATATATATTGAAACAAGTTTAGTTTACAATAAGCTATGGATGATATGAACTTTGTAGGAATTTTCAACTTTTGGGAATCTCAAACTTGCTGAAGCACTAGCAGACCAAGGACAAATTGAAAGCCACTGTAGTCATTTGTCTTGTCTCGAATGTGCAATCGAATGAGTTATGGTCTATGAATTTTGACATTACTAGCTAGTTTTTTTTAATAAAAATTACTAGCTAGATTCATCTTTGGCATGTTTAAACATATCTATTATATATTGTCACTTGGGTTCCATGCCATTTTTTTTATAAGTATTGAAATGTTGTTTTTTTACCCTAAATTTTCTAATGATATTTACAAGCTGAACAAAATAAGAAAGAAAGAAATCACTAATATAAATCTTATACATAGGGATGTATGCAACGTAGCAGGATATTTTCCATGGTCTTCGATGGATAATTATGAGTTTGGTCAAGGTTACACAATCCGTTTTGGTATGAATTGGGTGAAGTTCACTAACCCATCTGACAGAAAAGAGAAAGATTCAGCTAAATGGTATTCTAAGTTCAACACGAACTGAAGATAGTGCATATATGAAAAACAATGTGATTGGCTAAAAAAGCTACGGCTGTAACAAAAAAAAAACTAAACGGACTCTCATGTCTCCTGTAGAAAAATAATATGTAATATGTAATATGTATTTTTTTCTTTCTTTTTTGGTACGAACCTTTATAATATATGGTTTTTAAATAAGTTTGATGAAAACCCTATTATGTCTATCAAATGATGACTTCGGCCTTGACATAATTTTTTATGGCACTAGTCGTTACATACAAATAATTGGCGCGTAAGTTTTTAAATATATGTTATATGTGTTACATACAAATAATTGGCGCGTAAGTTTTTAAATGTCTGTTATATGTGTTAGGTATTTAAGATTGGAAACTAATTAGTCAAACATTTATATAAAAAAATATCAAAAATATTTTGTTAGTTTAGGTAAAAAAATTTCAAAACTACAAATCATTAATTGGCACTAGTCATTACATACAAATACTTGGTGCGTAATTTTTAAACATCAGTTATATGTGTTAGGTATTTAAGATTAGAAACTAATTAGTCAAATATTTATAAAAATATTATATTGTTTTGCTTCTTTATGTAAAAGCTGTAAAGAAAATAGGAAAGAGCATAATTAAGGAGATTGTGAAGTTAATATGACAGCCGTCAAAGCAGAAGTCCTAACTATCTTACTAAAAGTCAAAAATTAATAATTAAGAGACAATTTAATTAATATGGGGAGTGCATCAACCAATATTTGCCCATCTATATAAACTCTTCTTCTCCGTTCTCTTCAGATATCTTGAGATTAGGTTTTTGAGCTATGAGTTTAGAGAGTGATATTAAAGAAATTAAACCAGTCGTTGGACCAGTTGATGTTGACAACTGTGTGGTTTGTTTGGAGCCTCTGGTGAACAATGAAGATGAGCGAACTCTTGTTAAGCTACGATGTCGCCACCAGTTTCATCTGGGTTACTATTATTCTTATTATTATTTTTTATTTTTTTTTGGTGATAGAACCCCAAATGAAAATTAGATTCATTATCTTGGGACATCTATCAATTTCTTTCTTGACATGTTTCCCTCTACAGATTGTAATGGTTCACATTACAATAAATTGAAATAAGATGATGGAATGTCTAATTTGTAGACAAATAGAGAAAGGTGAATAGTTTTTTGAAAAATCTGTGGAGCCACGAATCCAAGAAAGGGCCATGGTTCAGCCAACCATGCCTCGGAATGATAGAATCTTAACCCTTCCATATTAACCTATCCGCCGTCCATATGCTCCGAATCTAATCCGTTTCAATGATATGTGAATTGAATAATGTAAAAGAACACATGGCCCTCGGAACACAATGTCGCTTACAAGAAATGAGATATGAGTATCATGGCATCACTAGAGGAACAGGTGTTGGTGGTGAGAACAGTGCTATGGACGTTGCGGCAGGGGAAGCAGCAGGAGGGGAAGAAATCAGGGGAGAGTAGCTGGTTTATGTGATCGATCATTTAGATTTGCTTTATTTCGTTTTATCGCTTCTTGTTTATCAAACTCTCTTATTTATTGAGTTTTGTTTTTTAGATAACTTGGCATTATATTTCTTTGGTGCTGTTATAATTGTTTATGGCTAACAAAATTTTTGTTTTCCATTATACATATTTGTTTACCTAGCAACAAAGACAATAGTCAATAGGCAATATCTAACATAACTCAAATTGACAAAAAATGAATGGTAAAAAACTAAAATTGTGCTCCTTTTACAAGAATTATCATCCAATGTTTTAAAATACGTTGATAACAAAAATAGTTATCATGAAGAAAATGTTAGATTGACTTTAATTTATATTAAATAGAAAGAAAATGAGGTAATATGGATAACCCTAAATTGATCATAAATCAAAATAGAAATACCTATAAAAAGGCAAAACATATATGCAACAGTTGAATATTGACTCAATTACACTCCTAGTTAGAAAAAAAATCTAGTCAAAACTTATGACTTAAAATTTATAAATGGGGCTTTAGTGTTGGACTGAATCACAAGTTTTGACCAATTTTAACCAATATTAGGGTTTAACTTAAATTTGATCTTTAATTTAATCTAAATTTTACGAAAACTTTAAAATATTTTTTGCATGTATCAGCCAATTATACAAGTTAGAATATTGGCTTTCTCTTTCTAGGATTTTTTTTTCTTCTTTTGATTTGGATACATTAACGGATTATAGTCGTTAGATAAACAATAATTCAAATATTTGTTATATTTGCTTGGTATTTAAGATTCAAAACTAGTTTAGTATAAAATGTATTTTTTTTAAATGTGATTATCTTGTTTCTATGTAACTTAAACATACCTACAAGAAAAATATTAGATAATATAAGAAATACTTTTTTCAGTAAATTATTAGTTAGGTATTTTATTTTAATTTACTTTAAGATATTGAGCTTACAAAAGTCGTTAGATATAGTTGGCGCGAACAAGATTAAATATTGGCTCAAACTATTTTAAAAATTCATTATTGTTTTCTATATATGTTAGATATTCATTTTCAATTATTGGTACAGTACTCGTTAGGTATAGTTAGCATAAAATACCTTAAATAATTTTTTATTTATCGATATGTTTGACATACCTATTTAAATATTTAATAGATACTAGTTAGATACAAATAATTGGCGCGAAATATTTGAAATATCTGTTATACTTGCTTGGTATTTAAGATTAGAATCTACTTTAGTACAAAAGATATATTTTTAAATGTCATCTTGTTTTGGTAGTCTTTGTAAAAAATTAAACATATTAATAAGAACATAATAATATTGAGAATTTTGAAGGTCAAAGCAGAAGTCTTAACTATCTTACTAAAAAAAATTAATTAGTATTTAATTGATATCTTGGACTATGAGAAGAAAATTAACAGGTGGCCAAAAAGTATCTGCATCAACCAGTGCTTGTCCAT